TACTAAATTCTTGCTTTCACTGCCATGGCTAGTAAAACAGAGTCCAGAAATGCTTCCTATTAGCCTTGCAATTGCAGCCTGCCGACCTACATTGGCTCAGCAATTTCATCTTCTCTAAAAAACTCTCTCCCAGCTCTAACCATTTCTAGTAGGCTAATAACATACCATTTTTCAGAGATGCATTTCTGTATACATTACTTACACTCTGTTCAAATTTTAAAAGGGGGTGAAATGTGATAGATATGAAAATGATTGTTATGTTAAGTGCTAGACCCCAAACCTACCATGACACTTGCAATTACATGATCTTATCCTGCTGGACAGTCTGCATTTGCCAGAAATTCTGGTGTTTACACAGCATTTGGCCAGACATACCAGTGTAAAATGTCCAACAAAATCTGTGACGTTCTTACTGCTGGAAGACACGACACAGTAGTTGCACATAGGCAGTGTTTTGGATAGAAGTACACGAAGTTTTAACACCTAATGCAGCGCAAGAAGTGTTATCTCTGACTCCATGCTGACAGCCTGTCCTGAACAGCAAGCTTCCATGCCTTTGCAGCAACCTTTCCTTCATGCTACGGATCACATATTTCTTGCCGTATGCGCACACCATCTGCTCCTGCAGAACGTCTGCAGTGTATTGACTTGTAGAGAAGTTGCTTACTGCAGTATCACATGCCTAGCCACACTGTGACTTGTATCTGCAGAATACAGATTCAGCTCCTTATGAACAATTCCTGGCAATAAGAGATTCCTAAAACGTGTACCTTAAAATGAAGTCTTGAGCAGTTTACAGGACAGCAGGTTCCTAGCAGAACTGTATTTCAAACTGGATAAGTCCTCCACAGTACTGATATTCTTCCTTTGTACTGTGTGTCACAGCAAAACAAAACCTTTATAATTCCCTTGGCCAATTGTGTATCCTGGTTAGAGGGTTAAAGGATTTATTTTCAACTCCTGCTGAGATCAGCTGGCACTGATCTCACTTCTCTAACATCCTCTATTACAGACCGTTTCTTGCAATGCACTCATCCAATTTCTTTGGAACATTAAGACACCAAATCAACTCTAAAGTGATTCATTGTTGATTCAGCAACATGGTTCAGTAAAAGAGCCAGCAGATTCTTCCTTCTAAAACATCACAAACTGCCTTCTCACTTCCATCAGTCATCTGACTCCCTGAAGTGAAATAAAAACACCACAGCATTTATCTCCTGAGCCAATGTGGCAGTGGCTAAAATGCGTGTGGAAGAAGAATTTCTTAGTCACAGCAGAAATTCTGGGGAAAAAAAGAGGTTTGAAATACTGTAAGGGAATGCTTGTGAAAATGATTCCATTGTTATCATGTGATCTATATAATCATAACTGTAATATTAAACAGTTGCACACAACAATTCCAAGTAAACCCGTTAACTAAACTTTTATAAACAATCAGAAGGTATGGTAATTTGAAGGAAATCACAGTTTCTTTATAGAGAGATCAGGAACAGAATGTAAATTCATCCTATTGATCTTTTTTTTTCCAACTAGAAAACATTAACATAAGCAAGAAAACAAAGCATGGAATGTAAGTTTAATATGTGCAACTAACTTCAAGGGATTTATATTAACTAATCTACAAAACACATGACAAATTATTTGTCTTAGTCTGAAGGTCTAAGAACCCTCCCCCCTTTGTAGTTCACAAAAGCTTTTCTAATGATTCACTGTCATACCTTTAAAATAGTAATAACAGCAATTATACTATTTTCTAAGCTGAGTTTTTAAATGTAGAAAATTAAACATATGAGTATATAACATTATTAGACACCGCATTTAAAATTTAAAAAAAAAATAAAATCCAATAATTTTATTCAGACATTTTTTTTTTCTTGCACTGCAAAAGATAACCATGTGAGCAATAAAGCAACTAAAAATACATTAGTGTCTCTATAAAAGCTTATATCTGAGCATCTGGAAATCTTGTACTAAGTTGATCCTAAAACAGATAGTTGCAGATAATTTACAAGCATAGAAAAAATAAATGCAAATAGAAATAACAGGCAGAGCTGCTTCCATAAAACGTTTTTCAATTCAGAAGAACAGAAAATGAATCACTGTAGGTACATTTCGTCAACAGCTTTGATCACCAAGGTACAGAATAATGGCTTTAATTGCAGAGCAAGCAGCCATAGGCATTTCTGCAAAACTGCTCAATAACGCCATCTTCCTCTGGAGCACTGCCATCAAAATCAGGGGAACACGTGGGAAAGCTAAGCAGAGTAGAGATGGACATTTTAATTATTTTTGCTATTTTGCTATTCTGCCCAACTGCAGTAAAAACAGCATCAAAATCATGCACCTGGGCCACACTGTTACACACTCATCAGAAAAACATCCACTCATGGTAAAAGGGAGAAATAGGTGAAATTATCATTACAAATCTGTATGTTTAGCCATATAGTATAGATATAACTATTTCCTCTCTGAGTTTATTCTGATGGATCCAAAAAGCACTAAATCCCTGTAAAACACACATTCCAGACTAGTTTCATTCCTTCTTGTCAGCTATACAATTAGCAAAACTTCACATTCACTGCAAAACATTCTCCCTGAGCAAAAAACCACCCAAATTTCCTTCTACAACATGGTTATTCCCAGAGACGATGGCTTCCACTTGCATGTATGCTGACAGTGCAAAATCAGTCTCAGAGCCAACAGACATTACTTCTCAGAAGAACCACTCCCAGCCTGTTACATAAACAAAAAAACCATTATCAACTAGAAATAATATTTTTTTCTCACAGAAATTGCTTGTTTTCCTTCTGGAAATGAGCATGAAGGAAAATAGAATCACAGAATGGTTTGGGTTGGAAGGACTAAGATCACCTAGTTCCAACCCCCTGCTAGAGTTCCAACCCTTGAGCCCAGGCTGCTCAAAGCCCCATCCTGCCTGGCCTTGAACGCTTCCAGGGAGGGGGCATCCACAACTTCACTGGGCAACTTGTTCTGGTGTCTCACCACCCTCACAGTAAAGAATTTCTTCCTGATACCTTGTCTAAAGAAACAACAAAAGAATTAGAAAGACTGTAACAAGTAAGACATGAAGGGAATTTGCAGCTTTTGAAAAATGACTTAAAAAAACCCACACAGATCTAGCCTCATTATGAAAAACAAAAACTGCATGGAGTTCCTTCTGCCTTTCTTTGTCTAGTCTTACCAACACAAGTAAAGGGACAAGATTAAGCAATTTTCATGTTGGTTTTTCATTCTGACTTTATTCCATTCAGGAAACAACAGTCTGTATTCTTGGCAGATAGACTTGTGAACATGAAAAAAGATGACTGTAGCTGGAGCACTATGCATGCATTATGGACTTCTTACTATATGATCTGCGACAATGAATAGAGAAAAGAACATTTTAAAGAAGATATTCCAATCTTTCGTTTTCTTTATAATTGTTCCTTTGTATTACACTATAAAGTTAGCAGCCTGAGAACTACTGTTAATGTCTGAAGTTATCTGGTTGGCAAAGCAAGCAGTATACAGTTGTTCATGAGAATGGAAATGTCTTGGAGGACAGCCTGCTATTTCACAGTCTTTACACAGCCACTAGATATCTGAAGAAGTAATGGTGCAAGTAATGCAACTCTTCAGCTAAGTATTAGCTGGCACCGTAACCTGCCACTGTACTTTTACACCTATCAGCAGAGAAAAAATAAATGAACCCATTGGAAATGCTTAGAGCTTTTTCTGTATCTTTAAAATGTGCTAGGGGCCTGGGAACAAGGAGTTTCAATTGAAATACTATTTTTTTTTTTTTCTAGCACTCAGCATCTGTAATATGGCCTATATTATGGACATTACATGCAAATTGATGACAGTCTCTTCAGCAGACTGAAGAGATACAGTCCTAGATATTTTATAAAGACTGTTACAGCGATTTTATCCCTACTCATCACTTATTGTTCATCTTGTGATGCCCATGCCCACCAATCTCTGCTGAAAAAGTCTCCACAGACCAGATATAGCCATTTTTGCAGTAATAGAATGGCCAATATTTCATATTGTATAGAAGAATTTGTTTCTAACATTGTAACAGATAATTAGTTGCTTGTGGCAGTAACATTCCCCCCAGGACGCTGCTAGACATTTTCTTCCCTCAATTTTACTCTTTCAAACTTACTTTCGCCCTTCTAATTAGAATCCGTCATGTTAGCATTACGATGATCAGCAGAAATTAAAGGCAAGAGGTCTGGAGGGGTTAGAAGAGAAGATAAATCTACTTCTCATTATTTGAATGGAGTCAATTTGAGAAAGGTCAGTTGAGGTGCAATTTACATAATTCCGAGTTGAAGTTAAGTCTACATTTGTTCCAAATGAATCCATCAATCCATAGTCAAAAGATATATTCAAAATCCCTTCACAGCTAAAATCTGAGTGGTTCGTTGGTTACCAAAAAGCCTTAATATTCTTTTACAACTAGTAAGCTTATGACAAGAACAGAGTGAGAGTACATAGCAGCATTCATCTGCCTTTTTCCCTCCTTGACTTTTTTATTCATATACTGCAAAGCGCAGGATCTAACCACAAACTGTATATAGTATAGTCTATCTGCTGCAGATGTTCAGTGAATCTCATCAAAACCCTTTATACACCCTATCGGATTTCTCATTGATTGCATCTAAACTTAGCATAAGCAGCAAATATCAGAAATTAAAATATCTTTTTGCCTACATAAAGAATAATTGGGCTAGTCCTATTTGGTGATACTTATCACAAAGATCCTTAATACAGCGTGCACTTGTGAATGAACTCCCATAGGAAGGATAGGATCGATTGCCAGAACCAAAGCAATGAACATGATGAATACCTTTGGAACTTAAAAAAGCACAGAAGGAAAGAGAATCATTCTCATTTAAAGTGATACCAGATATTTTAAAAAATAAAGAGCAAACAAACAGTGTGTCTCCCGCTGCTTCCCTCACCTTGTGCTATTTGGGTAATTGCAGGCTTACCTTTTGTGATCCAGATGTTGAGCCTTTAAATGAAGTACGTTTGAAGGAGCTGCTCATCCTCCGTAAGGAACCTGTGAACTTTCCTCCTCTTCCCTTCATAGTCCCCTGGCCCTTACCCTCCATAAGGAACCTAGTACCCCACCACCAAAGAAAACTCTGATTTTAGTCATACAGTCTGAGCAGTCTTTTTCCCAAGACCAACAATCATTAAGTTACATCTTAAATAAAAAGAGTCGCAGATGGCATAAAACAAAATCAAAGAAATGAGACTCCTGTTCTGACACGCACCCTATCACCAATGTTACCAGCCACCTAGACAAGTAGAAAAACAAGGCAATGTACTGCTGTCCCCCTCCCTCTTCTCTCTACCATCTCTATAATCAGGCTTAATGCACGCAGCTTCTGCAAGCTATGGTTTTTAATGGACAGAGATTTAATAAATGGTGATTGAAGGTAAATCTACTTTAGAAGCAGCAGCCCAAAAGGTTTTTATTTGTGCAAAGCACAGGGCAGTCAGATGGAAATTATTTTGGTATCAGTAGAAAGGCACATGAAAAGAGCAGATGGTCCTCAGCAGACTATAGGTTACAGGCTTTGTGCGATACTGAAGGGTAACTGCTGATGGAGACTGTGCCTACAGTAGAGCTAAGGTTTTAAAAGAAAGCAACCCATAAGATCACAAGTTAGATTTTAGACAATTAGGGCATATGGATTGTGACAAAGTGTGCTGTGTACTATATTTACAGATTTCTATGAATATCTCCATTCATATATTTAGTACTATTATGCCCAAATACGCAGAGTGAAAGCAAAAGGAGGCAGTTATTAAAGAATAAACAAGAAATGAGAACTAGGATTTATCTAACTGGCTCCAAAAAGACTTGTTTTCTCAGAGTAAGGAATCTGTAAGAGAGTTTGCTTTAAAGAAGAACATAGACAAGAGCACAGAGAATCAAGAGGGACATTTCAGACATATACATGCCTGGTTGTGTCTGTAAGGAAATATCCATAACACAGAGGAGTTGCACAATCATACTGTTCATTTACTTGGGGTTTTTAGCTTCAACCACTTTGTACCTCTGCAAAGATGGAGTGGGTGCCAGGCACACTGCTTCTACTTGGCTTGAGGAGGCCAAAATTAACGTGTTCAAACCTAAAACAAAACAATATGGAACTGGAAGAAGTTGATGGACCAAGCTGCATTTATTTTGATCTCCTGGTCAACACTGCCATAATCAAGAAACTGAAATTGGATGTCCCAGGCTGGGAAAGACAAATAGCTGGCTACAGTTTTGTTGAGAAATGAGTAAGCGAAAGTTGTGTTCTCTGCAGGAGAATCACTTCCTACATTAGTTCAAATAATTTGGGGATTGGATTAGCTGAACACAAAGAGGAGAGCACAGATACTACAGCATAACAAAGGAGGTCTTCCTTTCTAACAATTCTTTAAACTCAAGCAAAACCAAGGAAAATAAGCATTTTTGACAAGATTTTTGTTAGCAGCTGAAAGATGACTGTTTTAAGACAAAGCTTGGCTTCACCTAACAAGAATGAAGTAGAAGCTAGCAAATACAATATAAAACTCTACTAAGGAGATGAAAGAATACAAACAGAATAATCTTAAAGGAAATAGTGATCAGACAGGCTACTTCATGAAATAGTAAATTCCTTGTAAATAGTAAAAGCCTTGTAAATTCCACACAGAATTGCTCTCCAAAAAGAGTCTCTCCATTATATCTGGTCACTTAGCAGCAAAGCATTGCAATTACTGTACAGTCTTCTACACTGTTATAATTGAGGAATTCTATTTACACCAGAACTTGATTTATCCAATCCTGCATTTTTCATCCACAAAAATTTACTTTTGATTACTACATTCTGAAGCATATTCTCAGATTGTGGTAAATGTCACAGCAGTGAGTCCTATCAGCTGTAATAGGTTTCATGAGCTGACAGTACATCCTCCTGATCTAGCATCTTATTTGCTAATTATAAATAAACCTGAAAAATATTCAGATAATAGCTCATGCTTGGAGTCATAGTAGGGAGAACACTTTTCTTTTGTAATGTAGTTTAAACAAATCCATTATAAATGCTGTCAAAGAGTAAAAAAAAAAATAATAATTCAAAGCTCTTATGCAAATTTTTATTTTATTATTATTACTATTATTATTTTGGCACTACACATGTCCAGATGCAATGAATGAAGCTGAGGTGCATCCTTGTCCCTGTTTGTGATGTTGCCTCACAAACTGGCATCATATTCCAGCAGCACAATTTCCTGAACTGATATTGGGATGCATTACTCAGGAGATGACAAATGGTATTTTGCTAAAAGACAAAAATGAGACATGCTGACTGAAGATTAAATGATTCTTACTCAGCAACTGAATCTTGCTGTGTGAGAATTCACTCTCTTTAAGGTCCAGAACTTCAGCTGGCTAAAATACAAAGGTTGCCCAGCAAACACTGAACACAGAAGAGAGACTTTGGGGCTTTTTAAAATTTTATTTTATTTAAATAGAAATAGTAAGAAGATCTGTCCTGGGATAGGCAACATCTGTCATGCTCTAATGTACAAGAATGTGATCCCAGTGCTGTAGCATGAGGACTGTGCTCCTTTCTGTTTTTCTCACTTGGTAAAACAAAATATGAAATAGTTGGACAATTCATTTCAGTTCTGTAAGTGGGTATGACAACTTGACTGTAAAAAGTTTATCTTCAACTCCCATTGAAAATTCATCTTCAGAGAGCTGCCAGCTCTCAAATAAACAATCCTGCTACCAGAAGCAGGTAGCTACCTACAGATGCCTAGAATGAAACAAAAGAAAACCAAAACTATTAGGGAAAAGGAAGTTAAAACTGATTTTTGTAACCAATTTCTTTCATTTCTCAGCTACTCCTCATTTTGTCTTTATTTTCACATGCTCCATTTTAAGAAAACTCTAAACACTGAAGTTAAAATCCACAGGGCCATTTTTGCTACAAGATGACATCATGGGTGTCAAAATCGCTGTTAAGCCTTTTACTTAATCATAGAATCATAGAATCACCAAGGTTGGAAAAGACCTAAAAGATCATCAGTCCAACTGTTCACCTATTACCAATAGCTCCCACTAAACCATGTCCCTCAACACCACATCCAGTCTTTCCTTGAACACCTCCAGGGTCAATGTCTCCACCACCTCCCTGGGCAGCCCATTCCAGTGCCTGACCGCCCTTTCTACTTCCTAATGTCCAGCTTGAATCACCCCTGCCGTAGCTTGAAACCATTCCCTCTGGTCCTATCACTAATGACACGAGAGAAGAGGCCGACCCCCAGCTCACTACAACCTCCCTTCAGGAAGTTATAGAGAGCAATGAGGTCTCCCCTGAGCCTCCTCTTCTCCAGGCTGAACATTCCCAGCTCCTTCAGCCTTTCCTCATATGGCCTGTGTTCCAGACCCCTCACCAGCTTTGTTGTCCTCCTCTGAACACGTTCCAGGGCCTCAATGTCTTTCCTGCAGTGAGGGGCCCAAAACTGGACACAGTTTTTTAATCAGTTAATGTTCTTCCATTTTGTGATGCAGAATGCAGAAATTCAGAATATGATTCTCTTCTCCAGGATACAATGTAAAATGTGAATAACAAATTCATTCACTTTTTTGTCTTGGATCTGTGATTCTAGGACTTTTTTTTTCCTGAAGCTTCCTGTACACTCTTTTTAATGTATTTTAAGGATCATGCTGGATTTTCACCAGCATGAGGAGTCACCTGCAGCAGGAGACCTTCCAAGAGCCTGGTGAAAGCCCATCAACAGTCAATGAAACAGAAACTGCTAAATACTAACCCCAGCTGAAAAATCAGGCAACTAAGTTTTGCTGATGTTCTAGTACCCGCTGTGCTTATTTAGCACTGTGGAGGTGGACCCCACTATACTAAAGGAATGGAAACATGCACCACGCTGGCATTTTCATCAGCTCTCAGGATTTAGAAGCACAAGTTTAATCGATTTTCCATAACAGCTTGTAGTTTTAGGACCGGTCTCACATTAGCAATCCCTTTAAACAAACACTGTTGCTGAAGGTTCCTGTCTCTCCTTGGAGTTTTCCACTTCATCAGTTGAGCTGATTTAACAGCTTGCGTGGTCTAAATCAGATCTGTGTAATGATCTGGTTTAAATTAGCACTGGAGGAGGAAAAAGTGGTAATCTCTTGCAACAGGATGTGGCTGGCAATGGATGAGAATCTGGCACAGCAGGGAAGTGAAAGACCCTTAAACTGGTTCTGTATCTAAATAACCTGGGACATGAAAGTACACACCTGTCAATCACCTTCAGTATATTGGGGAAAAAAAACCAACAAATCAATTGGCAAATAAATTATGAAAAACCCCAAACTATGCATACCCATAAAAGAGCAATTAAGCGCAGAAAATCTCACTGTTAGCAAGATACTTCACTTTCAAAGTCTGTGACCAAAGTATCTGGACAAGTGTCCCAACAAACAAATCAATCTTCTTCATCAGGAGTTTTCCTGCAGGAGGACATGTATGCCAAGGTAGTCTGAAATCACTGTGGTGCTGCAAACTACCCATTATTAAAGACTTTCAAATCTTCAGAAACCCACCTGTTTTTCAGTTACCAGCAGGATAAACCTGCTACTCTCCCAGTCTGAAAATAAATTGAAACATCAAAATTACTCTCCAAGAATATTTGATCCTATTAATCCCATTAATATACTCCCTATGAGTAGGCTGGCTTCAGAGCCAGTTTAGTTATTTAACATACTTTTTACTTTCAAAAATCCAGCCTCTTCCAATCTTTTTTTTTTCTTTTTTCTTTTTCTCCTCATTATAGTATATATAAAAAGCTGCAGGGAAGCTTCTTACAGTTTCTTCACAGTAGAAGATGGAAGGTCCATTTGAAATGAGATGGAGCAGAAAGTGAAGAACATTCTACCATCAATTTAAAGGAAAGAAGCAAGAAATTTGTCTGATGAATTCATTTGATTTCCAAATCAGGCATTTTGCCACAGTAAATCCAGTTTTGAAAGATGACCCGGAAAACAAAACTAGGTACTAGCACACCTTATTCTGGAGCCTTGAGCACTTCAAACAGTAACAATCTTTTTAACATTTGAAAGAATATCGCTGTTTAGTTACACAGACTTCTCAGTGGTCTAATAAACAGCATTATCCTACTTTTCTCATTTCCTTATACTGAAACATTTTTTCAGCCTTCTTCATTCCCAACATCTACATATTGTGATTCACTGACAGGGAATCACATAGACCAAAGTAGTGCATTATTTTTATGTACTAAAAACAGAAAGCCATGAACTAACTGCTAAGTCTCATTATTAGCCAAAAGAAGCAAAATGTCTGCTGCAAAACCACGGTCCATTATGAAATCTACTGCTTTTAGAAAAAACATACTTACCTGGATTTAACTAAAATTTTTTGTTTACTAAAAATGAAATAATTAGGCTTTAAATTTTTCTTTTTTGTTTTTTTTGAATGCTTCTGCATTTGTGCTGTAAGTACTTTTCACTTTTATCTAACACATAAAGAATGAGGGAAGAAAGGGAGGGATACAGAGAAATATAGAACCTAATGACACTAATCTGTCCAACAGAAATGCAGAACAGTCAGTGGTAATGCTCCACAGCATGGTACAGTTACTTAATACCAAACTACAGAGAAAGATGTTGAGCTCCAGATGATGAGAGACACTAGGGGATGAAAAAAAATCCACAAGCTTGAATACTTGATTATTATCATACAGCTCTACTACTATAACTATTGTCATTCAGTTTCAAAACCCCTTTCCTTCTTTCTGGTCAGTTGATGACATTAAGTTCAGAATTCAAACCCGTTTTTTTCACAATATAGGCAAGCTTATTATTTCTCATCTTAGCTTTAATCTGAATAAGACTTAAATAAGGAGCAAGTTTGAAGAGTTTAGGGATGCAGGGGAACTAGCAACCAAACCAGACAAACAAAAAATTCCAAAGTTATACAACCCTAAATGCAATAGGCAAAATACAGAAATTCTGAATTTTCGTATTTTGAAGATACTTAAGAAATTCATGAAATTATGATGTTTCTCCTTGGAAGCGTGATGGTTTGCTAGTCTTATTATTTTCAAAAAACAAAAAAGATTCATAATCTTGCAATACAGAGCTTGGCACCTGGCTTAGCTCTGAATAACTGCAACTGAAATGAAGTGCATGTAGAAACTTTTACATCAAGTTCTATAAAAATCGTATATAGCTTCTTGTGCACAACAAAACTCACAGTGAGAGCACCATGTCTTCAAACCCCTCCAAGAGTTCACACAGCCCAGTTTTATACTAATGTACCTGTTTTATTTCATTTGTAGGTCTCAGCCATTACATGTTTCAACTGCTCTTGATTCTTTAGTTTCTACCCCTAAAATGAAGTATAGACAGAATACTGTTCAGCAGCAGTTACCTACCATGAGAATGAGTACAATGAAGTTTGCTGGGGACTGGTATCTGCTGGGTGAAGAAAAGTTGATGTCTTTTTCTGTAAACTACATATCTTCAAAACAATGCTGTTGTAACCTAGGCAAAAAAAATATTTGGATTTTAAATGTCACTTAACTTACACAACAAAATTCAGACAACTGACGTGTGACATCTTATTTCTGTTTTCAAAAAGGTGAAAACCAGACAGTGGATTCCTTCCCTACTGCATCATGTTCAATTCCCAATCCAAGTGACTGGTGGCACACATATAATCACCTTGGGAGTGCTCTGAGGAATCACTTGTCACATCCTGGCAGCATCCCAGTCCCCAGCTGGGGAAAGAAAAATGCATTTGTTGTCTTTTGTTTTTTTAAAACACATGTGGCTATGTAGATAATTTAAAAAGATTTTGTATGCAAATTAAACTTTACAGCTGTGAAGAGACAATTGAGTGATACTAAAACAGAATTAGCAAAGCCCTACAGGAGAAAAAAAAATAAAGACAGCAGTGATCCAGTTTGAATGCTGAGTTCAGATGCCAGGTTACTAGAGATTAAATGTAAATGTACTGCAGAGTTCATAAATTATTTTGTGGGCAGATGATGGGGAAAAGGAAATCTGAAATTCTTTTTCCACATTTATTTATTTCTTTGATATGTATATGAAAAAGTACAGAACAGTACCAGGAGAGTGAAAACAATCTCTGTCTACACAGTACATCTACACAGTGCTTGGTTCTACTGGTTTGTGCACCTAGGCACTGAACTAGTACCAAGCATTCTAACTGTTGGCATAGTGAGTACTTTGCTACTAGCTGCTCTTCCAAATTTAAAATGACATCAGGTATCCAGTTCAGAAAAGAAAATAGTGCTAAATAATTCCTCTCGCAGAAACCCATCTGTGGCTTACAAGAATGCTGTCATTTTGTCCCTTTCCTCAAAGCTTTTCTAAAGATATCAGTGCTGATTTTTGGAGGTTTATTTAAACACTGTTATTGTTAAATATTTCCATCTGGATAAAGCAACACCTTTTATCTGAAGCCTACTTCACTCATCAGTTCTCCACCAGTGACACAGGTAAAGCTTTTCCATGTAGAAATGAGTAACGGAGACAGATCCTCATTAAAATCAATTTGTGTTAGTTACAGGGCAAATACTGGAAATTCAAGGTTTGGGATTTAATGCAAGTACTAGTAGAACTAAACCCAGACCCAGTTAGTTTCTCACAAACCTGAGAATACAGTAGAACTGGTTGAACTGACTGCCAAAAAGAAATGTGTTATGGTGGAATACGTGGATACATTCCTGTACAAAAAAAATTTCATTTCCTATAGAAGTAGCATTTGTGGTGAAACTACTGGGGTTCAGTCTTGTGAGGAAAATAGGAATGTTTCCAAAAAAAGGTTTCAATAAATACAGAATTCTCTGGAGGAAAAAAGAAAAGTATTTAAGAACAACAATTCTCTAGTAACTTGCATTATCAGTGATTTAAAACTCATTTAGGTGACCTATAAGTAAATAGTTCACAGACTCTCAGTCATTACAGGAAGGAAAGCAGCTTACTATTTATGTTGCATTCAAAGCACAATTTAAAATGCTTCTAAACCGTTCATGACAGGTGCTGATGGAAACAGATGAAAAATGTCACCATGTCTTGAACAGTAACCTAATGTGAATAATTACACAACAGGAGTTACAATTGGAAGTGACTAAATGTTATAAATAGGAGTAAAAAAAAGCTCCTTCTCCTGTGTGTATAATTTACCTCTGGAACTGATGAATTCATGACTGTATCTGTTCAGTTCCTTTGAAATGAGCATGGACAATTTTTCTCCTATATATGAGACAAGGTTTAGGCTTTCTATACATTATCACAGTCACTTAAATTCTTTAATAAAAAGTGAATGATAGCCCTTTTATTGTAACAACAAACAGGAGCCAGGTGGAAGCACCAGGAATCCACCGTGGGTGCGAACTGTAGTCCTATATCCAAGGCTCAGAAGGACTGATTTCAAAAGCAGAATTGTTGAACACTGGTGGTAGGCTTCCATTATAAAAGTTATATACTGTATAAACACAGGCCGCAGTCAGTTTCAGCATCACGGTCTTAAAACCAAAGGAAGTTTTTACACAGATTTAAAGGAGCATTGGATTCAATGACAGTAACCTTAAGATTTTTCTTTTGCATTTTAGCTGAGCAAAAAATTGTCATCATTTAAGTATCCAGTATGTCACTTTTTTCAATGCCATACTGGAGTTTCAAACAAAGCTAGTTAGATATACTCACAATGTTTCATTGTCTACCAGCAACCAAATAAAGACTGAAAGAATCTCTCTTACTCACTTAGTAACAGAGGACTTGAAAAGACAGTGAAGGAGAGAGATGGAAACATCAAACCATAAAAAAAAATTTAAACATAAGTAAGTTTTGAAGTTGTATCATTAGATATCAGTCCACAAAACTCCACTGATTTCAGGACTGAATGAGTGAACCCATAAATCTGGAAGCAAGTAGCTTACTTCTGCTCCCCATCTCAAGACAACACCTACAAGGTGACAGAAGTCCACTCCTTACCCTGGGAAACAAGACAGGACTGAACAACAGGAGAGCTGGAAATCTGTTTACTTGCAACATCCTAAACATTGAAACAAAGCCATCTACTGTACTCCATTGCTTCCTGAGATTGAGGAAGAAACTGTTGGACGGTAATTTAATTTCTCCCAGTTTTACATCAGGAAAGTACTGCCTTCCATTAGATGCTAGTCTGTTTTTTTATTCATAGAATTATGTTCCATTGTGAAATGCCAAATAAATATTTAGAAGTACCACATCCATTTGGTATATTCAATGATGAGTACTTCTTAACTCCATCTGGCTAAGTCACAGCTTGTGTCTTACAAGGAATTTTTTTTTCCCCCTTTCTTTTTTTTTTTTTTTGTTGTTGTTTTTAAAGCATCATAAGCTCCATCTGGTGGATATTCTGTAAAATACATTTTCTCGAAGGTGAAGCACAGTATTTTCTAATACTATTTTGTTTTTCCTCCCTTGGAAAATATAAGAGTTAAAACAGTCTAATATTTAACATTAAATTAAATTAACCTTTACGTTATATTAGCTTGATAAAAAGGTTACAGATCTGCTGAAATGTCCATCTTTGCCTGAAAGACAAAGAAACAAAAAAACCCAAACCAAACCACTGTAAGAAAAGGAATTTAATTGCCTCGTGACTTTTCCTAAACCATAATGTACCGGTATCACACACAGACATGTTGGCACTGATTGTGAAAACTGCTTTTCAAATGAGAAAATCAAATATATACATAAATTTGATCTAAGTAATGTCAATTCTCCAATGTTATTAGAGAAGACCTGGAGGGATAAGTGATATTTTTTATATAAAGAGAATGAGAATATGAAATACAGATCAGCAACAAGTCAGAATTGAACATAAAACACAGGTGTAAATATCTGATTCTGCCCCTCTCGTCCTGGCCACGACTAATATTCTATGGGATTAAAGTGCAAGTTTCTCTATCGGAATAAAAGAAGCAAACATTTAAATCTCCCTGAAATTTGTAAAATCACTTGGAGTCCTTGGACAGATGGAAGTATGTTTTTTGTTTGCAAAATACTTGAGCAAATAGTCCTTGTATTTTCACAGAGCATTCTCAACTGAATTGATGATTCCACAAGTTCTTCATAGCAATGAGTTTTAGAATGTTGATAAATTTGATAATAAGTACTTTGCCAACATTACTGAAACTTACTAAAATAAAAAGATGTTGTTAGCTGGGAACGTCATCTCCCCAGCTGCTAATGGACTGCTCACTTAAGAGGGTCAACAGTAGTCTACACAAACCAAACACTTTATTTCAGAGTTCATGTATCAGCAGACGTAAGAACAAAGGAAGATGAATATAAATACAGTAGGATTGATCCCACTCCTGCATTCTATCTCTAGAACTTGAAGGCCTGTTTACTGCTAAATTTACTTATCTCAGATGATAGTTAGGTAACACAGCTCTGTAATCTCTCACACATCAATCAGTAAGTAATGAATCAGCATCTCCTAGATGGTCTCATCTGGCAGAGCTTAGCACCTCTTGTTGTATTGCTGATCCTCATTTATTCTCATTGCTTAGCTCACTGAGGCTTGTGACAGTACACCAAGTTTTAGCTTTTCACTGGATGAATTCTGATTGCAGTTCTTTGCTTTCTGTTGACAGAAATTTGTTAGGAAAAGAAAAGTGCTTCAAAGTAGTGGAATCTAATTATATTAATGGAGATACTAAGAAGCCAGTTAGGAGAAAAATCCATTACACTCATCTGTCTACCAAACACTAGATAATAAATGTGATTGTGCTTTTTGCTGATAATCCCCATAGAAGAGCAGAACAAAACCCCTGAGCTTTTGTCTTGATTTCCTGGGGACAGCTGAATATCATACATTCCCACAGGCACCTTACCCCTCTTATCAGCTCATTAGAAAATTACATTCTGCTCACGCTCAAAGGTGAGAGGTGCCATTGACCACTGGAAACAAAAAGCTTCTATTCTCAGCTACAGATCACTACCAGCAAGACCTAAACATAACAGCCACCAGCCTGCCATGCTGTCTTACGCTAAGAAGCAAATGGAAAGTAGCTGCAGTAGAAACACGACCCAGCCCTATGTCCTGCAGCAATTTCCCACCTTTCCCAGTTCCTTCAGTTACATGTTATCTGTTTCCACTAGGAACATTTATCACAACCTAGGGACCAACTCACGTTACACAAATCTCCAGAAATCTGACAGATGATGGCGGAATTTCTTTGCTACTTTCTACATTTTAATGTTACATTGATAAAGGGATAACATAATGGGGTAGAGGTTTCTATCTTTCCTTTTATATTACCCTTTAATTGTCAATCTCCTTACATTTTTGTGGTTGGGATTGTTTCTCCTTCTCCTGACTACAGAGTCTCAGAGACGTGGATAAAGAAAAAAAAAAAAAAGCTCCAAACTACCCAGGTTAGAGTCAAATGAGCAAACCTAGGCAATCAAACACTGGTAAAATCCCACCTGACCTTGCGGTAATAGGATCACATCAAGATTAGTCTATGTCATAGGTTAAGCCCTCAGATGTAAACTAATCTTTCTCCAGTCAGCTAAGACTGTATGTTTACTCACTAACCTGGGAAAAACTCCCATGTGCAAAACTTGTATCTGTTGAACAGACCATCCAGATCGTGGCTATATCAGTGACCGGTGCATTTTCTGCTGCACCACTGAATTGACCTGGTTTCATAAAGCAAGAGCTCTATAAGCAAGTTTTTAAACTACACTGCATACATTTATGGGAGAAAAAAAAAAAAACACAACAAAACATATTTAAAAGACAGCAGAACACTGTTAGACTAAAGACTCTTACAGACTCTATGAGTTCACTGCAAAAGCAGTGCAGACAGCTTCCAGAAGGGAGAAATTCTGCATGTCAGCACAAAGATGCCTTGCTGGCAGTGGGACATCCTCCCTTTGACAGGCAGATAAATACTATGTGCAAACTGTAAGCAACTGGAAGCTCTAAACTGGGGCAACTCTGAGAAGGAACAGCATACTCACTGTATTTCTCTACACATGAATACAGCAGCTGGTGACTAACTGCAAATGTAACTAGTTTACTGCTCTCCTCCTGGTAGTCTCTTTGCACCACAGTCACCAGAGCACCACGCTACAAAACGGGTGCTGGCTCCCTGCTCAGCATCATCAAACTACTTCTTTCCCAGTCAGTGGCTTCCGACCATCTGCATCTGGGGAATCAAGTACATCTGGGAACATCCTCTTCCTCATAAAAATGCCCTTTTTAGTGCATTCATCACACCTCTTCCCCAGAAGTGTCTGCATGTCTCTGGGAGCTGCCCATTCTACCATCTCAGTTAAGTCACTATTTTCTCTCCTTTTCCTCTGATTAATTGAAATGTATTAATGCTTTAATCAGAACATCAACACCTGACTGAAAAGAGGAAGAGGGAAAATTAAGAGAATTATATAATATTAATGTTTCCAAACATGCTTGTGGGTTGTTACTAATAAAAATAATCACAGCCCAGTCTTTCCAGATAATAAGTCTAACAGATATACCTGTGGAAACACACTAACCAAGATGCTGAGTTGACATCAGTGGTAATGTTTTACTGCAAACATACTGCAAGAGGCACCAAAAGGAGACTGTGCAAACCTCTGTAAAGTCACCACTGCAAAAGTGCCAGAAGAGATCCCTGCATGGGAAAGTAACTGATCCTCCCTGGGCCCCCATCACACTACTGCTGCCTCTCTAACTTACCAAGCTGATCTACTCAATTCTTAAAGAGCTCTTGATCAAGAAGAGATAAAGCATGAAAGTGCAAAAGAATACATTCAGTTCGTGTTTGCACACATACATACACACATATCTAGTCAATAAATTCCTACTTACTGATCTACTCTAAACAACTTTCCTCACCTGTCTGTGAGCAATTTCATATGCAACAGGACAATAGAAATGCACTGAAAAAAAGTCTTCAATATTCTACAATTAGACAGAGTTTTCAGAGCAAATTTGTAAGTAAAGAAGTCCAATTCTAGTTTGACAGAAGAAAATATCAGAAAAAAATTTAGTTCACCAAGATGTACTGTGTTTTGTGCTATGCAACAGAACATGTTACTTCCTTCTTTTTCCCTTAGCAACTACTGGCAGCTGTCTTGGTCCAATCCTACAGAACTTACAAGTGTGGAATTCCCCGAGTCAAATTTACCAGAGCTTACAAACAGAAGCATTCGTGTTTTAGGACTTAGAGAAGAGTTAAGCATAGACTGGCATTATGCCAGTCCTCAGCTGAATTCCACCTTTAATGAAGTTGGCATGAACTAGGCTTTTCCAGAACCCAGAGGATTGGGCCCATTGTCAGATTACAAACTGCTGTTATAGTGATTCATTGCAGCTTATTCTCAGCATATGTGCATTTTAACAGGAGAATTAAAATTGACAAAAGGACAAAGTAATGCAGTTATGACATGGCTGTCAATTGTAACAACCATATAATAATTGATCCAGTCTAAGAATTCCATTTAGCTCTTTGACTGCACTTAAATAGATCATCTCTTGTATTGTGTTTGATTAGTACCTTGTTCAATCTTGTCCACGTCCAAGCCTTCTGGGATCATGTCAACAATTATTACAGTGGTACTATCATAAGGTGAAATTGTGTGTTTTTGTTGTTATTGTTGTTTTTTAAATGAAATTAACTGGAAAATTGAGTGGACATTACTATCTGACTTCTCACGAGATTCTGCCGAAAATATTGGTACTAAAAGGAGGAAACATATTTAGGGCAGTAATCATACTTTCGACTCCATAAACAAGAGTCAAGTTCCCTAATGAAACCCAGGGAACTCAACACCGAAGGCGTATTTTATCAGGACACATCTAATTATAGCTGCAAATGAAAAAATCCCAAACTGAAACACAGTGAAATGGAAACAGTACCCATCAGTATTTTTGCCATTATAAATTGGCCTTAGATTGATGGAGAGGTTTTAAACTGACTGTGATGAAAGCCTGACAACCAGATTGAAGTGGGAACAAGACTGAAATCAACCATTTGTAGCTCTGAACACGTACACGCGCAATTACTCCTGATGACTGCACTCCTGACTGACTCCATTTGCAGATACCTACCCTGAAGATGAGTGACTCTTTGTGACCTTTGCTTAATCCTCATTGTATCCCAAATGCCCATGCAAGATGGATTGTTGCTAGAACTATATTTGCCCACATCTTACTTTCGAGCTTTTGATTTTCAAATGTGACTATCTGAGGAAAGGGTGAATGCACATAACAGTATTCTTCAAATTGGTGCTATTATCAGTAAACTGTATACCAAGTAAGAAATTAACAAGTAGCTACAAGTAGAAAGAAGATTTGAAGATTTCCCTCCAGCTCACATGAAATTAATAACTAGTTCTATAGAGAGAATGTCTGAGCTGTATTAATTAGAACACATTAATTCCCAGCAAAAAGTCTTCACAACTGAAGCAGATGCAACCACGATAGACTGAGGTTTTATTGCTGCCATTGATCTGTTCAATTGCTATGCAGGCTGACAAGTACGAAGATGGCAAGGCCATTCACGTCCTGACTGCTGCTCATTGAGTTAAGCAAAGCTTTCAACTTCTCACACCTCAGGAGCAGCAATGAGGTGCAGGCTGTTTCTCATCCTTGAGGCACTCAAAGCCTGGCTAGCAGCTAAGCCAGCTGCCAAGCTCCAGTTCAGCAACAACATAACTAATACACATTCAAGGGAAGCTACTGTGTGGACATCATTTGGCTTTCTGTTACACGTTCATCTTAGTTCATGACAGTCTGTTCCTTCAACCTATTCAACTACAACGACATTCAAGATATTCGTCCTGACATAAATATGTCTGACTTTTCTTTTTGTTCGCTTAGGAAAGGAAGTCCCTTAGGATTTCTAAGGATGAGTTAGAAGGATCATTGCTAACATTTTTTTTATTTTTTATTTTTAAAGGGGCCAGAATAGGGAAAGTTTGCATTTTTAACAAAAGCTGTTTTACAATGAATCATTTTAAGCAGCTCAGTGACGTTTAAGTCCCTGTTTACTGTGAGATGCTGAAACAATAAAAGATTTTAGATGAAACTTTTAGAAAATAAGGAGTTTGAAATCTTTGGAGATTGGCAGTGATGTGATCTGTATCACCTTCAGCAAATTTGCAGGACCCTCAAATTACTTGCCCTGCTGAGACACTTCCAAGCACAAACTGACCCCCAAACCTCATAATGGACACACTGGAGAATTACAGAGTTCTTCTCTGTTTCAAAATTATTTGACTACAGAATCTCAGTGTGGCTGATAAAGTGAGATGAACTGCAGATGTTATGAAATATATCCCTTTGGTTCAGGTCAAGGAAGACTGAAGAGATCAACATGACAGCTCAGTAGAATGAACACCAGATCGATGTAGTTAGTTCATTCCAAATCTTGTAGCATATAGCAAAAACATATCAAAAGATACATGTACCTTTGCACTGCTCCCTCAAGCATATGTTGGATGGCTAAAAACTCGTCTTCATTATTCATTTTAAAAAGACAGAGAATGCCCTTATTTAGTTAACAAATTCCAGTTAAATGACATGTTACTGAATTAAAAGAATACCTCTAATTTAAACTGCTTAAGATGAATTCAAGTTCAAGTTTCTGAAGATACACTGAAGAGTGCTTAGCATTCTATCACTTAAGGAAAAAACAGGTAGTTCTCAGCTCACTTAAATGAAGAATGAGCGCCTTTAGTATCTTACTCCACAAAAGACCTTTGAGTCAAGCAAACAGTCACTGAAACAACGGTGAAAGAGAGTATCATGTTTCTTTTCTCAGTGGCATACAACCTGTTCATTTTACCTTACTGTTTTCTTTAAAATAGAAAAATGAGAAGCACCTACCTTGACAGATATGGAGAAAGTGCCATTATCTTAGGGTGTTGCTTGTTGGCTATGTCAAGATAACATTTAATTCAAAAGCAAAGTCTTCTCCATTGCTCTTAGAATGCAGAGGTTCTTTTAGCCCTGCTAGAGGATGTTCAAATGACTACTCAGGGTATTAGAAAAGGCTAATTCTTAATTCCTTCTACTAAGCTTGCTTGCTGCTATGGACTACTACAGGCTTTATTCCTATTAGAGACTTACTGGTTGCCCAAGGTGACGGTGCTGTGTCACAGGTAAGAAAGAAAGCAATATGGCAAAGAGTTTCAAAAACTCTAGCTTTGAGTAAAAAGATTAAATGATTGTGTATGCAGCCTTTTAAGCCTAAAACAACGCATAGCGGTGCTTTAGTTTTCTAGCACTGGCTAACACGCGATAAAATCACACTCTCTTTGCATTCACATGCCACAATCTGTCATTCAAAGAATCGATGGCAGCAGATTAGAGAAGGCTGATGCTAACCCTCATATGGTAGCAATTATAAAAAGAGAAGAAGGTCAAGCCATGTCAAAAAAAGGAACATGCTCATGCTCATTTTTAGATTTTGGGTGTAGGCCAGTAAGTCTTTTCTAATCACTTAACTTAGAACTTAAAACCAGGCTGATTACTAAACAATAGAACAAATACTAAGAGGGGTCAACGCCTGTAACTTCCATCTGCTTCAGGAACAAGAACAATGGTATCTGTTGGAGATATTTTGGTTTGTGTTTCTAGCTAGTTGAAAAAGAAACAAGTGTCTAGCAATATAACTGTAATCACAATCACAACTCTGGCTAAACAGCTAAAAATGTCATTATTCAGCAAGGCATTTCCCAAGGCATATTCGAGCACAGACATGGAATTTAATGGTATTTCTGCAACAAAGTCATTTGAGTTTCTGCAAGGGTTATGAGGTATTCTAAATATGTTTTGACAAATATTTAAAGGAAGCATTTTTGGTTTAGTTGTATGTTTGCTAAGCTGAAATATGTTATTTAAACACACTATATTGAGACATTTGGTATCAGATAAGGTTGACTAACCTGGGCTCACCTGAGCTGCTCCTTCTCCTTTGAGGAGTTACAGTTGTCTGTCTGTCTGCCCTATTCTCCTTAGCTGTGCTTAGCATCTCACAAAATATAGTTTCTCATCTGGTTGAACTGACAAGATGCTTTCTCAAAGTCACAAAACCACAATGTGACACACAATGTGACACGAACTCCCCAGGAATCTAGTTCTGGAGAGCAGGTACGTAGAAAGTTCTTCCGTGTCAAACTTCACTATAACTCTGAACTCCCACAAAACAATTTCTTGAACTGATTGTTTACAGTGCTTCACATTTCTGCATCTAACAGTCTGTTTGGGGATCATAATGCTGCCAGTTGGTCCAAGTCTTCACAGTTCTCTGGTTTCTTCCCCTCATCTCTTTGTAATAGACTGATAGGTTTCTAATTCCATTTCCTGGTATATGGTTCAGACAGACTGTTTTTCATATGTAATGAGATCTCGGTCCATCTCTTGAGCTTTTATAATATTTGATTACAAATGGAAATCATAATTAAAATATTCCAGCTGGACATCACAATTGCATCACAGACTGCAGGCAAATAATTCTATTTAGGAAACACTTATCTTTAACTTCAGAAATCTGGTGTTACTACATCTTCCATAAAATTAAAAGAACAAGACATCCCTACAATAAAAGTTGTAATTTGCAATTAACTACCACCATTTAGTCCACAGCACTAAACTATTTACTCTTAGAAGTTATAACTATTAGATTGTGCAGCAATTCTATGTATTGAGGTTAATCTTCACATACTCCCCTGATAGCTGTATTCCCTATGGTTTCATTAAAGAATATACTGAAGTTATGGAGAATCTTGGAATCACAATGAAATGTTTTAGAACTTTCTTTCCAGTCATTCCAAGAATTTGTGCAACCATGGCAAGAAGAGAGAGCAAGGAAAGCAAATATTTTCTCATCTTAGTCACTGTTTCCACGGCTTCTCAATTTGTTCTGTCTGGTTTTAGAACACTGAAGCACTCTCAGATATAGAGACAGCTGTGTCACAACAGCAGCAAAGGCCCTTTTCAGTGGGAAGTATCCCCACTCCCATGAAACACACTTCCCTTTTTTGTTTCTTTTTTTTCCCTCAAAATGATGTCCCACAATGACTTGATTAAAAACGTGAACTTTCTTAAATGCATCAAGCATCTGAGCCAGAAGATCACATTCTTAACTGTAGGTATGCGACTCCTTGATGAAAGTAATCTGTGCAGGACAGAGTACCCAATAAGAAGCTGCCTTGTAAATTTATTTTTACCTTTTTGTGAAAAGGAGATGAATTTAAGGGGCAGCAGAACTTTAATAAAAGTGATAAGACAGTTGAAGGAAAAGTCCTCAAAGTCCAGCAGGTGTGGCTCAGTCATCAGCCATTGAGTTGTTGCCTGGAATGCATGAATAACACATGTTCTAAAAGTCTGAAATTATCCTTCATAGTCTGCTACTTCAGAAGCAATCTTTTTGTTTCTGTATATCTGGGAAACCATTTAGAGTTTTATGCATAATTCATTAACTTTGTATTAATCAGACTGAGATAAACTATCTTCAAGGTCTCATTTCCCATACACCAGCACATGACAAAGTAAAAGCCAACATTGTATAGATGTGTTCTCTTGTAAATTTGATTGGTTTGGGCTGTTCTCGGCATCCCAAAACAACTAGAAAAGCCATAATGAATGTAACTCCAAATCATTAGTCTTTACACTTATGCATTCTGGGGACGGAGTACTTCAGTTTCAGAATGTTTCTTCCGTGTGAGTCCAGTCAAGCTTCACTGTATCGTTCACATCATCAGGGTCCAGCAGATGGAGCCAGCAAGTCACTTGATTGGCTTAGATGCAGAGGAAAGAGGCGTTAGGCCGAGTCATTAGACCTTATCACTATTTACTTACCAGTACTAGGAAACTAGCTGATAATAGCTTATCTTGCACAAATCAAATATTCTACCACCACTTGCTTTCGCCAGAGCAAAATACAAAGTAGCTTCTTCTCTACTCTCCTACTTCAGATCGCATTTCAGCATTTAGTTTAACTCTTCACAGAAGCACTGAGGACAGAAGCATACATGGAAAATGGAAGGTGGCTCTGTACTTAAAGCATTTTTTATTTTCCTGACTAAAGTCAGTTTAGCAGGGTTATCAACTCCCTGCTTAAGATGTCAAACTGAAAAACCATGGATCTATCTTCAACTAAAAGCAACTGCTTTTCATTTAGATCTGACAGCAACTTAAATAAGCTTTCAAAATCAGAACACGTCTTGTTAGCACCCTGGAACAAGACTCAAAAGAAAAAAATATTATGGGAGAACTTTCAGGGGATCCTTGCAGAATGTGACAAAGCTTTCACCGTTAGAGATGAAGCAGCACATTCTCTGCAAATTCTATTTCCCTGGCTGTATCATACATAGCTACATTAATCACTTACATAGGATGCTGGTTAATAGTACAGTATGTTCCAAAGCAATGGTAATATCACCTAAACTGGTCTTCCACAGAACCTTTATTAAAGATCACAGACTGAAAAAAAAAAAAAAAAATCCCGCTGCAACACTGGCCTTTAAAGTGAATCTCTGCAAATGGGAGCTACGAGCCTCAAAAATAAAATAAAATAAAATAAAATAAAATAAAATAAAATAAAATAATTTAAAAAAATTTCCCCTTCCCTAACTCAAGTAGAATTAAGACTGTATAATAGGTTCAAACAGATAGCGTGACCCAAAAAGATTAATTTCTATCTCCCCATACAGGTCTGACTATAGCTCTGCTTTTCACACTGTTGAATTTTATTCCCCTCTTTGATTTATTAGGTCATGCACCTAGTCAGCAACTGCCAAAGTGCAATTATACTAACAGCGGCTGGAGGGTGCAGAGCAAGGATATGTACTACATGGTCAACCAACCACATTATTTGACTCAGTAACTCTTTTTGGTACACACATGGACAAAGGCAAACTATATATTTGTTTTTCACAGAAGCAGGTAGTTAAAGAAATTCCTGGAGATTTTGTTTAGAATCACTTTTAAATGTAATGTTTTGGTAACTGTAATTTTCATACAAGCAGATTTTTATCAGCTGGGTGAAAGAATCACTACACTAACTGAAACGAGAGTAATATAATTCTTATCAGTTGAAGCACAGGTTTTGTAGACTCATCTATTTGAACTGTATGTTATAAGGCTGTCAGCAATGCAAGAGTAATTGATGTAGCAAAATCTAGACTCTTACAAATGAGGAAAGCAGGTAAATATTTTTGAGAACAGGCCCCTTAGCCAGGATTCCTGTTTGGGTCATTTTGTTGGACATCTCCACTATCCCTTTAAGGGGCCCTGAGACAAAGAAAACTGCTGAAGCCAGAATAATAACATCATCAGTATCTCATTAGAAAACTGGACTTAAAGTTGGTAATAAGAGACTCATAGAAGTATTAATATTATTACATTAGCTCCTGGAAAATATGTAAGTAGATCTATAGCTACCATAAAAGATGTCTGCTTCACTGCTATTTTAAGTAGTACCCAAAATGAGCATTAAATAATGCTGAAGTAGAACTAAGCTAAGGAATTC